CACTTCTGGCTTTTTTCTTTTTGCTTATGTGGTGCTGAGGAATCGAACCCAGGGCCTCATGCATGCAAGGCAAGCGCTCTACCACTGAGCCACCTTTCCATCCCACCACTTATATCTTGATGACATGATTAGCCTGGATACTCCTGAAAACATCATTTAAGGGTGTTTTGGGGGGTGGGGGTTTCACTGTTTTGGCATCTTGATTAGATTATTGATTGAAATTGTCTAACCCTTCTCCCATTCCCAGTGTTGGGGATAGGGCGGACTGAAAGTTCCAGGACTGCTTCTTACCCCCCACCCCACACACTGCCCCTGGAGGTCCTGGGCTTTTGAGCTCAGGGCTTTGTATTTGTTGGCAAGTACTCTACTACTTGAGTCATGCCTCCAGCCCTTCCTGCTCTTTCATTATTTTTCAGGAGCTTGTTCTTTTACCCTGGGCCAACCATGGACCATGATCCTCCTACCTCTGCCTCCTGTGTAGCTGGGATGCAGGCATGTGCTACCATGCCTGCCTTCCCTGCCCCTGCCTTTTTTAAAGTTAGTATTTGGGCTTGAAGTCAGGCCATGGTGCTCTTACTCAGCTCTTTTGTTTACAGCTGGTGCTGTAGCATTTGAGCCATGCCTCCCATTGTGGCTTTTTATTGGTTAATTAGAAATAGACTCACAGATTTGACTTCCCAGGCTAGCTTTGGACCAAGATCCTCAGATTGGAGCCTCCTGAGTAGCTAGGATTATAGGCCTGAGCCACTTGTACATTGGCTCCTCCTACCACAGCTTCCTGAAGCTGTCTGGGAGCCCACCTCGAGTTAACCTCATTAGCATAGAGCAGGTCTGAATAGAGAGTCTTTATTATGAGTAATAAATACTTCTTTCACTCTCTTATTTTTTTGTCAGTCGTGGGGCCTGAACTCTTGGCCTGGGCACTATCCCTCAGCTCTTCAGCTCGAGGCTAGCACTCTACCACTTGAGCCACAGCACCACTTCTGATTTTCTGGTGGTTTATTGGAGATAAGAGTTTCATGGACTTTTCTGCTGGGGCTGGCTTTAAACCTCAGTCCTTAGATTTGAGCCTCCTGGGTAGCTAGGGTTACAGGCGTGAGCCACTGGCACCTGGCACTTCTTTCACTTTTTTTTTTAATTTTTATTTTATTGTAAAGATGCTGTACAGAGAGATTTCAGTTACATGAGTAAGGTAGTGAGTTACTTTCCTGTTGAGCATTGTTATCCCCTCCTTTGTTGTTCTCCCACTAGCCCTTCTCTCCCCCACCTCCCTCACTCCTCCCTACTCCCCACCCCGAAGTTGTAAAGTTCGTTTCCAATATATTGCCTTGTGGGTATCATTGTTGCAATGGGTCATCTTGTGTCCTTGTTTCAGGGTTTTGTTATGCCCCTTTCCTCCCCAAATTAGACAAATGTATATGCATTCTTTCACTCTTATCACTCAGGACATTCTGGGAGCTCTGTGACAAAAACTGAGGACAAAGATCAAATATATGTGGCTTGTACCAAATCTGGATTGCTCTATATATAGTTCTTCTAATTCTAGAGTCCTTTCTGACTCTTAATACTTTATAGCCATTGGGATTAAAGAAAGTCATCCCATTCTGACTTTTAAATGTTTAGTTGTACTGTCTAATAGAATTCAGTATTGCTGGTAAGTTTTGAGGGTGTATCAGGCCTAGTTCAGTCCTCATTTTTTTGTGTCGTTTGGGATATGTCTCTCACTAGTTCTTGGATCTTTTCTCTTTCTTCCATGGCTATAAAGATCGTTTCATCCATTTAAAAAAGATAGCTCCATATCCTGAATGTGTATGCTTCAATAACAAGTACTATCTGGTCTCTAGATCAGCATTCAAGTTCTAGGGCAAGAAATCTTATCAGAGAAGAAGGCATCTCCAAGCTGGGATGCGGAGCCCCTCCCAGAAGTGGAACATCAGGAGCAGGGACTTGAGAGTTCACCCTTGGATCCTGGGGAGCTGCTTGGCCACACGGTGAAGGAGGAACCAGAGCTAGGTGAGGGGACAGTCACTCTCTTGGAGAAGTTTGGGGGTAGGGCTCAGGCCTGAGTGTGAAATGAAATAATACAGTGTTTGGAGACAGGGAAGAACTATTTTGACTTGGAGACTTTGAATTTTAAACCACTTTGATAGTGGTCCGGACCACTTGGATATGAGGTCCTGAGCAAGGAGGTAGGACAGACATGGATGCGACTGGAAGTTTGGAGAGGAATTAAACACAAGCATGAAAATTCAGGCAGTGGAACAGAGTGTTTTTGAAGAGTTTGCTCTTTGCTCTCTGGGGAGTGGTTAACGAAGACATCTGGATTCTGAACACTTCCTTTTCTCATTGCAGCTGTAGCTGCTTCTCAGATTCCTGCACGACCTGAGGACAGGCTTCTGGGAGACCAAGACTTGGGAGCAGTGCTCCTCCCAGGAACACCACAGGTGAGCTAGCTTCTGCTTTTCTTAAGCTGAGCCAGGCTTCCAGGAAATAGCAGTCACAGTTGGGAGGACTGACAGGGATGTAGTGTTGCTAGGGGGTAGAGAGGACAGCTGAGGTGGGCCACAATAACAGGATTATAGCTATAAGCTACTGCAGTAGGCTACTTGTGTGTAAGTATGCTGATCCTGGGGCTTAAACTCAGAGCCTGGGTGCTGCCCCTGAGCTTTTGTGCTCAGAGCTCTACCACTTGAGCCACAACTCCACTTCGGGATCTTTTGGTGTTTAATTGGAGATAAGAGTCTCATGAACTTTCCTGTCCAGGCTGGCTTTGAACCACCATCTGCAGATCTCAGCCTCCTGAGTAGCTAGGATTACTTATATAAGCCTCCAGTCCCTGGCTCCAGGCTACATTTTTATCTTTTTAGTTCATGCCCGTTGCTTTTTACCCCATGCTTTTCTCAGCAGTTATTGATCTATTTTCTATTACCATACAATAATTTGCATTGTCCAAAATTTTATGTAAGATGGAAAATTGCCAAATGATGCTTACCCTTTTCTTTGTACATTTTCATTTTTAACTGAGTTTATGTAGTTTTTCTTTGCATCTATTAATTGTATAACCTGCTTCACTGTGGTATGCCATACATGCATGTATTATTCTTGATCAGATCAGCCCACTCTGATGTTCTCTCTTTTCCTCATCTTCTCTTCATGTTGTTCAGTGGGGCTCATTCTACCATCTTCATTCATAGACATAACATATTTGGGAGATAACTTATACTCAGTACTGTACCATTGAAGCTTGGATATAATTCATGCCCCTCATTCTCTGTTCCCCACCCCTGCCTCTCAGACCTCCAAATAGTCCCCCAATTGAATCATGCCATATCTGTGTATATATCTACATTTAAATATCCAATCTCTGTCTGTAGCTGTCTAACAGTTCTAGATCCCATATGAACCTACACTGGGTGGAATGTTCTCATGTGTAGTAATAGCTTGTAAGCCCACAAGGTGGTGCTATTTCCACATAAAAATAGAGACACTGTATTTCTATATCAAACCTTATACTTCCCTCCAGAATAGAAAGTTAGGCCTTTTCCTTCTCTGGAAATTTGAAAAAGGAGCAAGATGGCTGCCACTGGTGTTTTGTGTTGTGTCTCAAGTAGGGCTTGTGTCCAAACTTTTCTAATTTCTTAGAACTAAGTTGTTGTTGGTATTAGCAGCAATCCTAGGGTTTGATCCCAAGACCTTTTGCTTGATAAGTAGATACTCTACCATTTGAACCATCCTGCCAATGTTAGTTATTTTCAAGTTAGGGTCTCATTTAATTCTCAGGCTGGCCCAGGATATGATCCTTCTATTTTACTTCCTCTTGTCATTGGGATGACAGGCATGTGCCCACTGTACCCAGTCACTGTATCCAGACACCCATGGATAGCACCATGTCCATCCACTCGTCCACCTTCCATCTCCAGAGTAGCTAGGATAATAGACTTGAGCCACTGTGCCTGGCTTCTTGGAAGTCTTTTGAGTGTGGCCTTAAACTGGAGATATTCTGTTCAGAGACTCCTGAAGCAACTTTTTTGTTGTTTAGAATGAGCTGCTTGTGATTAGGAATTTAGGTTCCTACTATTTTGGTAGTGACTGTGCTGGTACCCATGGATAGGCCCTGGGCCCAGGCTAGACAGCCAATCTTCATTTGCCAGACTTTTCTTCTGCTGCCTCTGAAGTCAGAATCTGTATGCTCTGACCCCAAGGTTGGAGGACTCGAGTGTTCATCAGTGTTTGCCAGGTTGGTTCTTTGCAGGTACTTTTTTTTTTTTGTAGAAGGTTACATACCTTTTTTTTTTTTTTGATTGTGATTAAGTGATTACATAATTTCCCGAATTTCACAGTATTGTGGAATAATGATACTCATTTAAAGTCACAAGTTCATTCTAACTTTCCTGGAGCAAATTGTCTATCACAGTTTATAACATATAACGGTGTACACATGTTATACACCATACATGTTATCAGCAGCATGGGGGTATTTAGTAGTGGTTCGACTAGATGAGTGGGAGTTCTTTGTTTCTTACGTCCTGTTAGTTTTGTCGTATCACCTAATATTTTGGATTTAGCATCCACTTATCAGGGAGACCATGTACCATCTCTTTGCTCTTGGCTTACCTCGCTCAACATGATTCCTTCTAGCTCCATCCATTTCCTGCAGGTACTTATTTAAATAGCCTATTCATAGGACACTAGCAGAATAAACCACTAGCAATTTATACTTTAAAAATTAAATGATTAGGGGCTGGGAATGTGGCTTAGTGGTAGAATACTTGCCTAGCATGCATGTAGCCCTGGGTTCGATTCCTCAGTACCACATAAATAGAAAAAGCCAGAAGTGGTGCTGTGGCTCAAATGGTGGTGCCAGCCTTGAGCAAAAGAAGCTCAGGGACAGTGCTTAGGCCCTGAGTTCAAGCCCCAGGACTGACATAAATAAATACATATTTTTCATTAAAAGTCATTTTTAAAATATGGTTTTAGTTAACAGTTGGCATATATAATGTTTATTGGGATAATGTTTCAGCTACCAGTCCTTTTCCACACTAAAAGATCCAGTATCTCCTTCCTCCTCTATCCTATCTCCTTTCCTTCCTCTTCTTTTTCTTCTTCCTTTCTTTCTTTCTCTCAGCATCTGATAATTCAGTATTTTTGACATTTCTCTCCTTGAGCCATTTCCACGATCTTTAGATGTGCTGCAGGGAGAGCACTGAGTCAGGGCTGGAAATGTCTTCCCTGAGCAGGATGTTGTATGTAATAGGAAGATGACTTCCAAAATCCTTTCCTCATCTGTTCCCGGTAGCCAGGCTATTTATGATATAAACAACTGTATCATGAGGGAAGAAGTAGTAAGGAAGGGATGGGTGAGAATGTTGAAAGGAGTGATATATATTCCATTTATAAACTGCTTTGTTAAATGGCAACTCCTTGTACAACTACTTAAAAACTATAATATAAAGTAAATAAACCATTATATCAACTTGAGAGTCCTGGAAACGGTGCAGAATCCCTTAATTGTCTCCACAAGGCCTTGGCATGGATCTAGGAGACTGCCTATGATAGTAATAATTATATCTGTCTGTCTGTCTGTCTCTGCCTGTCTGCCTGCCTGCCTGCCTATATTCTACCAAGGACTTGTTAGCCAAGGGTTGTTGTATTTCACCCTGATGACATAAATTAAGTATCTCTAGTATTGTGAGCAGGGTCTTAGGGACTTAGGAAGTACAGTGAAAGTTAATAGCAGAACACCTTTCTCAGAGAAATTAATGCTAGTAGTGGCAACAGTTCATCAAATACTTGTCAGTGTATACACATATGCACATGCACATGTAAATATTTAATGTGTGGGTGCTAGGAATGAAGCATGCAGTGTGCTGTGAAAACATGACACTTAACCTTGTTGCTTTCAAATCTCCTGACAGTCTTTAGACCCTAGTGCTCTCACTAGGTGACCACTGAGATGTCACAAGCTTATTTAAGATCACACAGCTAGAAAGTGGCCAGTAGGCATTTGGAACCCAGTCTGTCTGACTCCAAAGGATAGGCCACTAACCAGTCAGTTTCTAGTGGCCAGCTTCTTGCTGGGGAGATTAAACTTTGAATTGAGAAGAGCAGATTCGAGCTAGGCAGCATTCTCAGTTTTGGGTCTTCAGTCTGTACTTTTGTAAGAAGGCTTTCTTTGTGGATATTGTGGCATTTTTACTTCCCTATGTGGGACTAAAACCAATTTAACTGGTCCAGAGTCCAGATATGTATGGCTACAACATCCGTCCTTTCTCAAAGCCACCAATTTTAGTTTCTTTGCTTTCTTGAGTTCCCAAATTGTAATTACATAGTGTGAGCATCAGCTTCCTATTATTCACAAACACATAATACAAGCCTCTAAAGAGTTTTAAAACAGGGAACACTATAAAAAAGAATTCAACTTATTGTTTGTTCTCTACTCTAAAATGCATATGACTTTACAAAACACAAAACCTAAACCCTAAATGTTCTCTAACCATGGCAAGAAATACTGTTGTAAGGACCTGTCATTTTCCCCTCGGCCTCTTTGTTCCCTGGTCCAGGCTCCCGTGAATTCTCAGATCATCTGATGGCCAAAGTCCTGCAGCATATCCCTTTCTTCTCAGCTTTCCTGTGGCCCAGAAGTCAGGTTCAGACACCTTCACTGACATGACATTCTTATATTCTTTCCAGGATCAGTGGAGGCATCTGGATTCCACTCAAAAGGAGCAATACTGGGATCTCATGCTGGAGACCTATGGGAAAATGGTCTCAGGAGGTAAGGCTAGCTTGCTAGAGTAAGTTGGAAAAACTGGAAGGCATTTTCTATGCTTCCTCTGCTCAACTTCAGGGTTTGAGGGTAAAGAAAGTCATTAGAGAAACAGTTGGGAACTAGGGTGAATTACAGCTAGCAGAGCTACAGAACTTCTCATATTGCAAGTTTCTTTTGTTACAGGCAGGTTAAATGTGCTGCAGTAAATCTTTATAAAATGAGAGGTGGTATTTTTCTTTTAAGGATGATGAAAGTTAAGTGAGCTCATGTTCTTTCCTATTAAATCACACTGCCTCAAAATAACCACTGGTCAGTTCCTTGTCCTGATCCTTGCACCTGTCTGTCAGTGGTCTACAGAGTCTCTGTCCAGACTCGGGTTGTTAGAGCTTTTGCCATGTGCACTAGTTAGTTTGCAAGTACCAGTGTCTTTCATGCTCTCCATACTATTCTCAGGTGAGTTTTCTCAAGTGGACTACAGAGCCTTCAAAATTCCCTTCATGCTTAGGGTGTTCCTTTGAAAGACACAGCTTCAGCTCTTGACTTCCTCATTCATCCAGACCCACACACTTCTTCCTCTCTATGGCAGGTGTTTCCACCTCCAAACCCAACCTGCCTAATTCAACAGAGCTTGGGAAAGACCTGACAGGATTGCCCCCCCATATTAGTGAGAAGATTGCAAGACTCACCTGTGCAGGTCAGTGATTGATTGTGGGACTCCAGTTTCTTTTTACTTTCTCTTATTAAACTGGAGTTGGTGAACAAGGTATTAAGACTTGCTTTTATTGCCTTGGTTGCAGCCAGCCATGCCTAAGCTGGTCTTATTTGAGTACCACAGGTGAATGAATATCCTTGTCCTAGGAGATGTTTAAGTACATGTTAGCACATGTGTTTAATTGTTAAAAGAAGGCCACACATTTGATCAGCTGTCTTCAGTCTTGTCTGTTTTGGTACATTTCCTTCTTAGAAAGAATTAGAATTAAGATTGCCATAGATAGAGGCCAATGCAGATAACAGCTAGAATTCCTTTATATAAAGATTTATGTAATAACCTTTGCTAGTGAGAAAGTTCAGAGTAACTGGTGATAGTAATAGCCTTCCACGGTTGGCAAAATAAACACGAAAACATGTTTTATTTAATTGGTATGGCCCTAATGTTTGTTAAACAGCAGCATCAACAAACACTTCAGCTAAATTATATCTTAAGGTTGAGAAAGAAGAAATTTGAACTTACTTTGTTGTAAATAGGCAGCTACTCTTTGCTTTCTATACTCTTTTCTGAAGCACGTGTGTAAAGCTTAGCTGTAAAACTATACACACATGCACACAAATATTTTTACACATACCATAAGTTCTGGAACCTTGGAGGAAGAAAAGGAAGAACAAAAGATACCAAGGATGGGAATTGTGTGATGAGCACAGTTTTTCTCCTGTGAGAAAAAGTGTCTTTTCTATGGAAGTGTGTTGCTTGAAAGTCCCTGCTTCTGCCAGGAGGATTGTCTCTTATTTAGGAAAAGATGAATTGTTTTGTGATAAGGAAGGGTTTTTGAAACATAAGGTTTTGTTTTAAACTGGTTTCTTTTCCAGTTAGGATTAAGACACACCTCAGACTGCTCTACAGATAACAGAGGTTGTGGCTATATTTTGAGATTACCTAGGTACCCATTTCAAAGTCACCTTATTTTTGTAAATTTATTTTTTTGGTCAGTCATGGGGCTTGAACTCTGGGCCTGGGTGCTGTCCCTACACTCTTCAGCTCAAGGCTAGTGCTCTACCACTTGAGCTGCAGCACCACTTCCAAGTCACCTTATATAAATTCATTTTATCCTACTCAAAGCAGCCAATCAGGGGCAGATTGTGAACCTGAGCTTAACCAATCTAAGCAAAGGGGCAGGGCCTGCTGCAATAGGCCTGCTGCAAGATTTTTGGCTGATGATGTACCCTTCTGCAAAAGTAAATTTTAGATTGCTGATTGTTTATTTTCATGTCTATCATTATGACTCTAGTGGTTCTTGGAGAGCATATTTATAACATTCCCCAGTGGAGTATAATTAATTGGTTATCCTTTGCTAACATTTTGCATAGTAATATCAGCAATCATCAACAGAGACATATAAACTTTTTTAAATTTATGTTTTGGTGCTGTGTATCGAACCTGGGGTCTATTGCTGAGTTTTACCCCAGCCATGATTTTAATTTAAAGCAATATGTTTATCATGATACAATTTCACAGATTCCTTTGAAGGAATACTTTTCAAAGTGCACTTCATGGCCAGTGAGTAAGATTTTTTTCTTGATTATTTTTAGAATATTTTTAAGTTCATAGCAAAATTGATCAGAGTTCAAGAGTTTTTTTTTTTTTTCTAATGTACCTGTGTAAGTAGAATTTCGTGTGTGGTATTTAGGCCATTCTGTTTGAACTCATTCTGTTTTTATTTTAATCTCATCCTTTTCTTTTCTCTTTTCCCTCATCCTACATGCTGACATGGTTCCATTAGATTCTTCCTTGAAACAGATTGTGGAGAGTCTCTAAGGCTAGGCTACCTTGATAGCCAAAGAGATACACTTCAGGGTTCTTGGGGGGAATATGTGAAAGCAATTTTGGGGAGATTAATTTGGTAGTGATGTATAGGACAGACAGGAAGGGGAGAGTTGGAGGAGAGAAGCCTGTGTGGAGTTAATGCAAGAGGCCCAGGAAAGGGGAAGTGGGCTAACGTGGAGATACAGGAACATGATTGGAAAGTAATGGTTCTAGGAAATCTGACAATTAGCCAGACTTCTAGATCTATAGTCAGATCTAGGGCAGAAAGACAAGAGAACTGGGGGAAAGCAAAGGAAAGGGTGGTGCTGTCCAAAAGAGAAATGTGCATATTACTGAATTATGAAATGATAACACCTTTGTACAACATCTTGATAGTAACAATAAAATTATATTGAAAATACACAAGGGAATGGAGATGCTATGGAAGAAGAGCTCATAGCAAAAGCAGAGGAGCATGGGTCACCTTCAGAATGTCATATCCTCACACTTATCACCAAAATCCCAAGTGATTAAAAATTACTTGGTATAATGGTATTTTTTATTGTTATTTTAAGAAGCTGTACAAAATGGTAATAATTTCCTAAGCCAGGTTATGAGTCCAATGCTTCTTGGGCATTTTCCCCCCTTCTCTTCCTTTGCCGCATTTTCCCCTTCTTACCTAGTGTATATTGAATACAATGACTGCACCTTTCTTCCCTCCATTTCTGTGCTCCTGCATTTCCTACCCTACAAAAAAGAAAACAACATTAAAAAATAGCCTATGTTTCCATTTCTTAGAATTCGTTTTGATAAATAGTACTTTAGTTGGAATTCATTTTGATAAATAGTACGTTAGCTGTTCCAGGGGAGTTATGTTTGTGGATTCTCCCCTTTTGTACTCCCCTTTAGTCAGTTGTTTGTTTGTGTATAAATACATAAAGCCCTATGTGATTGATCATGTTGAGTTGTGTTTTAGATCTAGCTTCCATATATGAGAGAAATCTTGTGCCATTTGTCTCTCTGAGCTTGGCTTACCTCACTTAACTTGATTTTTTCTAGGTCCATCCATTTCCCTGCAAATGACATAGTATTATTCTTTTAAATGGATGAGTACAATTCCACTGTGTATAGGTACCACGTTTTCTTGAGCCACTTATCTATTGTTGGGCATCCAGGCTGTTTCCATAACTTGACTATTATGAATAGTTGGCACAATGATTTTAAGAGAGAGAAAAATAACAGGCAAGAATAGCAAAAAAAAGTTTGAAAGAAAAATGTTTTATGAATGATATAGAAATATCAAATGTGTTGTATATATTGTAAGGTTTGCTGGAAGGAACCCGCCACATGGTTCAGGCAGAAAAGAGTTTATTGGGGGAAGAGCAGACTGCCAGCTGAATGAGATGGAGATGTGCAGAGAGAAAAGAGACGAGAAAAAGAGGAGGGAACTTGTGGCTGAGGGGGATTATATAGGGGAAGGTGGGGAATTGTGACCACAGTGGATGAGGAAGTGACCTCAGAGTCTGGGGTTCTTTGCTGACAGTCAGGTTTCAGGCAGGTGATTTCTGGTAAGGCTATATGCTGTCTTTCAGGAAGAGGAAGGGGGGAGAGGCTGTTCTCCCAGACAAACCTAACATATATAAGGCAAGATAATTAAAATATCATGAGCATGATACAGAAATGGATGGGGAAAAAAATCAATGGAACAGAAAAAGGAGCGTGTAGGAAGAGATGTGGTCTGTGTAAGCGCTAGCATATGCTGAGGAAAGATGCCATACACATGGGCCTGACCCATTCTCAGTGAACAGAGCTAGGAGAAAAGATACTGTGGGTGAAGAGGGAAGAGTTGACTTATTTCTTATTTGTGTCATATATCAAATGAATTGGAAAAAAATAAAATGTAAAGAAAAAGAATGAATGAGACCTTTGCACAGTGCCTGGTGAAGTATGAGAACATAAAGGAAAGGATTACTATATTTGAGTAGGTCTGTAAAGTAAAACCTCAGTCATTTCTTTACATAAAAGTAACCCCAAACATTAAAATAAGCAGAATTAAATAGTGAAAAATGTTTTTCATGAACATGATAGTAAATAATATTCAGTATTATTATTAGTAGGTCTGAACTCAGGGCCTGTCACTTCCACCAGACCTCCAGTCCTAATTTTCCTAATTGAAGAAATGAAAGTAAGTTGATAAGAACAAGTAGCTTTCCAGTTCAGAAGTCTTGGAGTATAAGAAGTAGCTCATAAATGTGGAAAAAAGATCCATCCTTTTATAACAGGAATTAAAATGTAAAATAGCCAGGTATTGTTGGCTCACACCTATAATTCTAGCTACTCAGGAGGCTGAGATCTGAAGATTGCAGCAGGAAAGTCCAGGAAAGTGAAGCTGAGGCTCAGTGGTAGCCTTGAGCCATAAAGCTCAGGGACAGCACCCAAGTCCAGTGTTCAATCCTTAGGACTGGCACACCCCCTTCCCCCCCAAAAAAAAGGAAAAAAGAAACCAAAGCAACATAAAACCATTTTCACCCATTTAAATAGCATATATTTGAAAAGCATTCAGTAATTATGTATTCATTTAAGGATATATGCTTATTTTGGAGACAGGATCTTACTACGTAGCCTAGGCTGGCCTCAGACATGAACTTCCAGTGTCAGCCTCCCAAGTGCTGCAGGCATGCGGGTATTCCAGGTATCGCAGGCATGTGCCACCACACCTGGCAGTAAATAGTCTCTTCAGATCTAAGGATCAAGTAATGTTTAAAGTTGAAAAATAAATCTTACAGCCAAAATGAAAATATATTTATTATATGCATCATTAAGTAGTAGTCATGAAAAAAAGGAAAACCTTAACTGTTTATGTGAGTTAATAAAGCACAGATAGCTATGAAAACGGCCCTCGTTTGTAGTGTAAGCTACTTGGGAGGCTGAGAGAAGAGGATCACTTAAGCTTAGGAGTTTGGAGCCAGTCTGGGTAACACAGCCGTATCTGGTCTCATTCATGGCTGGATGGATAGATGGAAGGATGATAGAAAAACATGTAAATGTGCATTTAAGTGAGTGCTAGAGGATTCACTTTCACTCTGCAGCTCCATCCAGTGCCTTGCACCTACAGTGAAAGGACACATTAGTGAATTTCATTAATTTTTTAAGTTACTTGTGAAAGGGAGAATCCATGTTACACTGACCAAAATCACCACCTACATACATAGCTAGATACAGAACTATATATAATGCATCAATTATATCTGAAAATAGCAATCTATGCATATGTAAAGGTTAAATGAAAACCTCCGGAAGGATGTGTGTGCTTAGACTTGCCTGAGTAGTATGGTGGAGATTGATTTGGTTTTCTTTTGGTGATACTGAGGTTTGAACTCCAGGCTTTGGGCTTGCCAGGGAGGCAGTCTCCTGCTTGAGCCATACCTCCAGTCCTTTTAATCTTTTCTTCCTCCAAATTCTTGAGCATGATTGTTTATCTTTTACTTACAATGAGATAAAACTCAATCATTTAAAAATATTATACTTATGTGTCCTATTCCTGGAGGGCTCAGAGAAGCCTGCTGCGAGCCCTCTTGCACTGATCAGAAATTCTCAGCGCCAGAGAGGGCCTACTTAACCCTAAACCCAGCACAGAGCAACTGAGTCCAAAGGGCTCACGCTCTATGCTTTCCTTCCTCACTCGGAGATGCTCTCTTGGTAAAGAGAAAAGATACTTTATGATGACCCCATCACTGAATATGAGATAGACAACTATATAGCGTTCATGAAGCCATTTCAAACTGTTCTTTCTCTTTTCAGGAGAAAGGCAAGAGAATGACAAAGAGATCCTGAACCTGGCAGATCACAGGGCGCCTGAAGCTCTGGAAGGCCCCTGCCAGGCTTCTGGGGAGGCCCCTCCCCAGGCGGCACTCAGGGGCTTCTTTAGTGAGGAGGATATGCCAGGCTGCTTTGTGGAAGGAGAGCGCCTCCCTGAGGCTCCAGAAAACCTCCAGGGTGAGGGGTCAGGAGGACAGATTTCTCCACACGCAAGGAGTTCTGGGAAACAACTAGGTCATTACCTGCCTCCCCCTCCAGGTGAGCTGTCTGCCCTATGGCTGGAGGAGAAGAAAGAGGCCTCTCAGAAGGAGCAACTGAGAGCCCCCCTGGCCCCAAAGCTCCCCACCTGCAGGGAGTGTGGGAAGACCTTTTACAGGAATTCGCAGCTGGTTTTTCACCAAAGAACCCATACTGGTGAGACATACTTTCAGTGCCCCATCTGCAAAAAAGCCTTTCTGCGGAGCTCAGACTTTGTGAAACATCAGAGAACTCACACCGGGGAGAAGCCCTGTAAGTGTGATTACTGCGGGAAAGGCTTCAGTGACTTCTCTGGTTTGCGCCACCATGAGAAAATCCACACAGGGAAGAAACCCTATAAATGTCCCATCTGTGAGAAAAGCTTTATTCAGAGGTCAAACTTTACTAGACATCAAAGGGTTCATACAGGAGAGAAACCTTATAAATGCTCCCACTGTGGCAAAAGTTTCAGCTGGAGCTCCAGCCTTGACAAACATCAGAGCTCCCACTTAAGGAAGAGGCCTTTCCAGTAGTCACATCCCAGCTCCATCTGCGTACATTCTGTTCCACCCGGAACTGAACCCTGGGGGACAGCCTGCTCCATTTTTCGTGGATTGCACAGGAACAACCTGGACATGAATTTGGACTTGAAGATACATTGTTGGCCTCTGGACTGGATTTCATGGTGGTTTAGTTTCTTCCTTTTGCATCAGGGGAAAGAATAGTCTTTATGTTTTGTTTTATCTCTTCTTTTGGATTCCTTGGGACAAAACCTCTCACTGATTTAGTTTTTGGAGGTGCTTGTTGGGGAGGATTTCAGTGGAGTGGCTGCTCACCCAGAGAACCTGGATCAGCCCCTAAGAACTGGGGTTCTAGAGCAGGTCTGCTATAAAAGGGGAGGCATGGAGGGTCCATGGCCACATGCGTGCTCTTGGGTCGTGTGGGTGGAAAAATAACCTCAACTGTCCCTTGTTTGCAATAAATTGAGTCAAGCCACTTCCTGTCTTATTCATGTCTGATGTGTTCACCATGCATTGACTATAACTCAATGCACATTGTTTACCTAGAGGACCCTGTATGGTAGTTGAGCCCCAGGATGAGCCCAGGGAAAACTGTCCAGTGTGTACCTAACAGTGCAGTAACTGAACAGTGCTTCCTAGTGCTGGACATGGGTGGTGAGTGTGGCCAGTGTGGCCATACCTCCTCTCAGGTCAGCCCTGCTAGGCCTCCTTGCCACTTGATGGCATGCCTCCCACTTCCCTCCTTTCTCCTGGCATGCTACTTGGGCTTTGACTTTTTGCCAGAGTACTCTATGCTTAAAATTATCTTTAATATCTTCTTTTGCCAGTAGGTGTTAGGGAAAAATCCATAGTATTGATTTAGTTTTTAGTACTGTCTAGAGGCTTATTAACATATATATCTAACCTGTCCATCCAGTTGTCCTTGTCTTCAAAAGTTCCATGTCTCAAAGAGTTTTGCTATCTACAACAACCTTGGTCCTCTTGTTTGGTCTTCATTTGTTTCTTTTCTCTTGCAGTGCTGGGGAATCAAACCCAGGGCCTTACATGTGCTACACATGCACTCTGCCACTGAGCTGAACCCCAGCCCTCTGAAACCATAGAACCAGCACAGGCAACCACAAGATTTTCACAGACTTCGGTTGGAGTCCCCAGATTCCAGGAGACATTTGTTAACTTCTCTGTAGATAGCAGAGGGATAATAAAAGTCCCACTGAGGGCAGATACAGGGCCTGAAAGAACCAAGAAGGTAAGATGGTGGCAGAATTGGCATGGAATTCTGTATTCTGCCTAGTAGAGATTTATAGGGGATGGGATTAGATGTTTACATTGGATTCCCAAAGTGGCCTCCAAACTAGCAGTGATGGCATTTTGTTAGACTTCCTGAATCAGAGGTTCTGTAGGGTGGGACTCAGCAATTTTTTGACTTAACAAGCCCTCTAGGGAATTCCAGTGGCTGCTGTAGTTTAAGAATTACTGATGTGAATATTAATCAATCCCCAAATTAAGTCTCTACAAGGATATGAAGGAATAATGATCTCAGAAGCATTGCTGGACCCTTCCAGATTTTTCTTACCAAATAGATCGATTCATGGGCTCTCTAAATCTCATCACAACTGAAGAGCCCTTTGAATTTCCAGTGGATATTGGTTTCATGGAAGGAAATACGGAAAACTTTTAGGTTAAAAGGCTTTTGGCTCAGGGTTTCTCCTTAGGCTCCTCTCCGTTGATGTCCAGAATAGGAAGCAGGCTCCATGTATCCTCAGGACATATGGTTAGGTAAAAAGGAATTGATTCTGTGTGTGAACTCGTGAGTAATAACATATATAGACTACCCTGGCCTCCACCACAGACAGAAGCATTGTATTGTTAAGTAGCATTTATTGAAATATAACCATACCCATATTTACTTATCATCTAGACTTAGAGCTACAGATGAACAGAGCCTGCAAAGCCTCAAGTATGGTCTGGCTCTTTTCAGAACAGTTTCGGTGACCCCTCATGAAGAGTAATGTTACCTACACAGTCATGTGTATGCAGCTGGCCCCGCAGCAGCTGCCTAAAGGTGGAGACTGATTCATACATGAAGCTGATGAGCCTGGGCTCCTGGGAGCTAGACACTGAGGGTAGTTCTGTGTAACAGGGTCAGGGCTGGTGATTATTTATGAGTCAACCGCTCACAAAGCCTGGACCAGTTGAAGGGTAAAATCACTTTATTAGGAAACATTTGGTGCTATAAGATTCCCTGCCACAGTGTGGGCTGGCTCAGCCTTACTGAGGTATCCCACTCCAGTGGAGCTCCCTAGAGGAATTCTTTAGCAGTTGAGTGCTCATGATTTCTGATAGTGTTTTCTAAGTGTCTGGGGTTACCAGCCAGTGTCCAGCATCTGGCCAATCTCTCTGTTGTTATCTCAGGAGCCTGTCAAGCAGCTAAATCTGCAGAAGCAAGGCCACACCAGCAAGAACCCACTTGGATGGGTTTTCCTTTGTCTTCAGATTGAAAGTCCACACGTGGGTGGGTCCCCGCTGACAAGTCTTGTACACAGGGCAGGAATAAACCCCACGGCAGTCTTGCTTATCAGCAGGGATGGCCTTAAGGAACATCACAGGCATGGGGGGTGTCAGGTCCTTCAGTTTGGCCTCTGTAATGATCCCAGCCTGATGACGAGAAGAACAGGAAGAGCATTTTGATAAGACCCAGGGCACAGCCAGCCTTCCTCTGGTCAGAAGATGGGAGAGAGGAGAGACTGAGAATGTCCTGGGTGCATCTCTGCCTCTCTCCCCCAGGGTGCTCACCACCCACCCTGGATGGCATCTCACACATGGGATCACATTTCTGTCTTTTCAGCTAAATCATCTTTTTTTTTTTTTTTTTGAGACAAGATATGTAGCTCAGATTAAAATTTGAGATCAAGAGCTGGGATTCTAGGCATGTGCCACCACAACTGGCTTTAAATCACTTCCCGAGGTGGATCTTGGAAAGCTTTTTATTTACTGTGTACCTACTACTCCCTTTGGAGCTTGACTGTCAACAAGTTTTATTCATTCATTTTTGTAAGAATACATCTGACAGACAAGTGACTAGGTGCTGAGCAGTTAAAGAGGATGAAGGCCGTTATTTCAAGCCAGTGCTTTAGGTTTTAAGGCTTTGGTTATGTCCTGATTCTGCTTCTTTTGAGTTTCATAGCAATTTCATCCATCTTGAAAGCATTTCCACTTTTTTGAACAGAGCGACAGCATTCTCTCTTAGTCGTGACCAGTTTGTAGCTTTTTAGATGGGGCCTCCCTGTGGTTTTAGAACATGTCTCAATAGAGTTGTCTCAGGTCACTGTCTAGTTAGCTAATTTTTTTTTTTGTCCTGAGAAATGCTCTCTGGACAAGAGATTGTCTGGCCAAGTTAAACTGGAAAATCAAATGGTGCTTCTCATACTTTGTATTTGAAGCTTTATCAGCAGTTTGAAGCAAATAGGGTAATTGTTCAACCTGGTGTTTTCCAAATTGAGTTGACCACAGGGCACCCTTCATGTGGTAATAAGTGTTTTATGGAACATACTTTGAGAAATGCTGATCCAGAGTGATTCACAAATTTCTCACCTGTGTCCATGAGACTCTGAGCCTCTTGCAGACAGAATTTGGTTCTTTTTACAGGCTGGTATAAGGCATTGTCACAGAAATATGCACTGGATCCCTTGTCCTCAGAATTGAATCAGGTGTAGGAGCAGGGCAGACTTTGCCCTCACAAAACCAACTCTTTTGAAGGATACAACCCTGTGCATTTTCATATGTTCACAAAGTCGTGCAATCGCTGTCACTCTAATTCCAGACCATTCTCATCTATCCCTAAGCAAGCTCTGCAACCATTAATAGTCAATATGAATACTAAGGGATTAGCAGCTCCAATTATTATGGTTGAGTTGGTTCAATTCTGTTAGTTTTCATTCCTGTATTTTGGGGGCTCTTGTTGAGTACATGCATGCTTATAACTAGTTCTCTTTTTCTCTAAAATCCCTATCTATTCTACCTTTTCTTCGGTAATAGCGTATAAAATGAATTGTGATAACAGCACTGATCCTTTGCTATCTTTTTTTTTTTTTTTTGGGGTCCGGGTCTGAGCTCTGGGCCTGGATGTTGTCCCTCAGCTCTTCAGTTCAAGGCTAGTGCTCTACCACTTGAACCACAGCACCACTTCTGGCTTTTTTCTTTTTGCTTATGTGGAGCTGAGGAATCAAACCAAACCCAGGGCCTCATGCATGCAAGGCAAGCGCTCTACCTCTGAGCCACCTTCCCAGCCCCTCCTTTGCTATCTTTTGACTACTGTTTGGGTGGCCTGCCTATCTTTTTCCATGTTTACTTTCAACCTATTTTTTTTTAATGTTCTTTGCATCAAAAATATCTCTTGTAGATGGTATATAGTTGGATCATGATGGGCTTATTTTTTCTTTTTGTAAATCTGGATTTGAACTCATTCTACCACTTGAGTCATATCTCCAAGCACATTTTGCCTTTTGCCTGGCTGGCTTCAGATCGCACCAGATGCATAGCTGAGACTGCAGTCATGAGCCACTGTTCCTGGCTATACACATAAGATTTCTTAGAAGGGCGCTAGTTATTGGATTTAAGAGTCCATGATGATTTTACCTAATTACATTTGTCTGCAAAGGTCCTGTTTCTAAACAAAGTTACATTCTGAGACTCTGGGAGGACGTATATCTCTAGATGCATATTTCCCTGGCCTCCTGGGATCTTCTAGAGTGTCTGACAGTTTTGCCTGATTATTTTAGTATTATCTTCTAGGAAGAGTTTTGTGTCACCCACCAAATAGGCTACTTGACAAAGCACTCTTCCTAGCTCATGTGTCTGGGAAGCATAAACTTGCTCCAGAGTTATCCATCCTTGTCCATTTCATTACCTCAACCATCCATGCTTGTTTGACATTTCCTCTCTGTGCTAAATACCTTTTGTAGTCTTATGGTAACTCAATTTTTTTTATTAGTCTTCAATGAGGAATCCTTTCAAAATGTCACTTTTAAATGACACCGAGTGACTCTTGGCTGATGCAAAATGACAGAAAAGTCAGAAGGAATCCTGCTGACCTAGAGATCCCCAGGTGAGATGAGGAAGGTGTAATCACAGCTCAGGTCATACAACAGCAGGCCCAGCTGACTCCAGTACCTCAAGTTCCAGCTGCTATGCAAGAGTCTTTCATAGACACCTGCTTGAGTGTCATGATGACTCCGTTCTCTCATTTTACAATGGAGTGAACAGATATGGAGAGAGGAAACTATCCCAAGGTTAGAGTTGATCAACGGCGGTGAAGGGACACAGGTCCAGTCAGTCTGGTTCCAGGGGCCTCAGGTTTAACCTCTGCAAAGCCAGTGGTCTCTGTACCACCCAACTCCTGGCTGATAAAAATGGTCCCAAGGAAAGAAAGATACAGTAGCATCCCTTTTGGCGGTCATACTTTATGGGATGCCGCGT